TTTCCTTACTTACTCTCCTACACTTAGCTTTTAGATCAAATGGAAAGCAAATAAAAGGAAATCAATTCAATTCGTTTTGCTTATACAACCCACCATGATGGACTGCATCCGAAATTTAAAATACTGAATGCAACAGATCTTTCCGTTGATAAATTAAAAAATGAAATTTCCATTAATATATTTTCAGGACTAACTCAGAAATGGTGTAAGCGATCGAGATTCCATTTTTGGTGTAATTAACTTTCACGTGTGGGCAGGTTTATAATTTATCTCGAATCTATGTAATTCATTTAAATAACTCGTTTATTAAAATGATGTTGTCTGTTGCAGTTGTTAAATTTTGTTTGTAGTCAATAGTGAAAATATGCATTTTAATATTCGAAAATATGTATTCGATTGACCGCCCAGTTATACAAGTTACATTCACTGCGGATCACAATAAGCTGTAGAATAAGCTGAACTGCACGTCTATAATCCCAAAACTGTTTGCCTCCAGATTATTGTTTTCCGTTGCAGCCATACGCGAGTTCCGAAGGAACAGGTTACGAAAACGGGGCAATAATTTTAGACGACATGGAAGAACGTGGGCGAATTCACGCTACCCTTAAAGCCGCTACATAAATCGAGACAGCAAGTGTTTCCAATTACCGTAAGTTTAAAACCATTTAATTAAAAAGCCAACCGATGTAAATAAAAGCGTAGAATGGCCAACAATAACGCTCAGTATTTAACTTTCCGTAGTTAGAAACTAACTTGTTACTGTCCGCATTCGGTGCAAGCGCATTATTTTAGTGCTGAGTAATATCGGCTAAGTTGGTTATACATTATTGGACTCATGTCAGTTCTATTGGATTTAATTTCTTCAACGATATGTTAATTATCTATAGTTCCGATATATTTGTTAATAACCCAGTCGATAGTCCTTTGTTTTCTCCAATTTCAAGTTGATACGAGTTATTCGAAAGATATTTTATCACTTCAACAATCTACTAAAAGTTTCCTGTGCGAAAGGACTAAAATGTCAATATTCCATCTTCGGTTCCAATAAACAACTAGTAATCATATTCTTTTTCGCGTTGGTACTTTGTCGAACAAGCCTGAAAATGTTTCAAAAAAACTTCCACAAGCTACTCTACTACTATTTGCAAAACTTTTGGATTCCTCCTGCATTGGTTGTTGTTGATTCAAATTTGCTGACGTTTCGCCAATCAACCTGTTGGCTTCTTCAGAGCCATCATCACAATATCATGACAATATTTTTATCTTAGCGCACTGCTTTACACTTTTCATGTATTCTCTTAAACAATAAATAATTTCATTGATCTCAAGTAAAAAGGACTTTGGGGTTATGCTTGTCCCAGACAAGGGATACTGTGGTATATGTATATTCTTTTTAAAGTAAATGGTTAATATTTTGTGTGATCATCAAGGATTCGTAGTGGACTTTTGTTGAGAGGTTCCACTTGACCTGCTGCCTTTTTTCCCTGTAATTTTCATGTATTATAAAAATGTCATGTCTAAGGCTATCACAAAAATTTAAAACAATGAGGTTCCGTTTACTGATAAGGGAGAATTATCATAACTTATTACTGTTGACGATATATACTAGCAGCGCATATTAAAATTTTACTAAGTTATTAGGAGTATTGACTATGTTTATTGCCTACCTGAAATATTGTCCAATTTATGTGGTTTTTTGTGCTAATTAACTACCCCTGTGAACGACCCTTTAATTTTGTATACTCAATGAAACAGACTTTAGAATTAAGACGCTGCAGCTATTATATTAAGATCAAGGAGAAATTTATTATGTTTTAAATAAAATAACTGAAATATAAATATTTCTATTTTCCAAGTTCATGTAATTCGGATAACAATATGCGAAATCGTTTCATCACTGCTATAGGGTGAGAATTTGATTGATTAAACTCAAATCTGACAACAACATTTGTTGCGAACTTGTTTAGGAGGTAATTCCCGTGTTACCAGCGGTTTTCGGACAATCACCACTAATCCTCTACGTCGTGTTTCCATTTCCGAAAGGATAATATTCTGCGCAAACTTATCCCGCGTATATTAATGAAAAATTGCTAATTACATTTGTTATCGCTAATAAATTTCTTGATAACATGGGATTACGAAAATTTTAATTCAAAGCCACCGGAGAAACAAAATTATTTGGAAATTTCTCTTACAAATTTCATTGCACGTCTCGACTACTGCCACTCCAGCGTGAGAGCTGATTTTTCACGATGGCTGTACGTTCCTGTTTTATTCACTTCACTTTCGTTTTGACTGACATATAAATCAAAAAGAAAAAATATCATTCTCGAATTGTATATTCCTCGCAGCTCGTATCGAGAAATCTTGTTGGAAGTAAATCACAATCTTCACAATATTTATTTTAGTGAAAAACTTGAACATAGCTGATGTTTAATTACTTAGTAGTTCATAGGGAAATGACAAAGTTTTATCTGCTGGAATTTTGAAATAAAATGCATATTTTAGTTTAGTACAATCTACAGGGTATTTTTTATGACACGAGGCAATTTTTTAAGAATTTTTAGACAACAACCACGGACTTCGGTTTTCGGAAATTATGAAGAGAACCAAACAAAGGGATCAAAAATTTGTTATTGTTATTTCTTACTAATAATTGTTTATATTCAATTTAAATTGTCGGAAGCAATTGACAATATTTTAATCAAAGATAGTCCAACACTAATTTTAGACAAACTCAAAATGTTTGCCATTTCGTCATGCATGAAAATGGTTTTTACGTTTTCACGCGAAAATGGTGCGTCGATAAAATTTAGTTCAAGCTGGACGGAAATGTTTCCTTTTCAAAAATATTCACTCTAAACCCCCTACACATTCAACCGTATTTTTTTCAAATATGTATTCGATGCTTAATGTACTAAATGTAATAAAATTATGTATCTGTACCTGAAAAAATCAACCAATATATGTCATACAATAACAATTATAAAAATTTATTTATAAAAATTTAAAAAATATAACATTTACTAGTTTTTATCACGTATCATGTATCACGAACGGCGGATATTTCTTGAATAAGCATAGACGTGACACTAACGCTTGTACACCGTGCGCCAAATAAAACGATCCATTATACGATCTGGAAACAAATAGGAGATACGAAAAAAAAGTTTCATACAAAAGTTTCTTCTCTCCCGAAGATTTGAAATATTATAATTTTGTTGATACAGGGTGTCCCAAAAGTGCCCCGTACCCCCGATATCATGTGCTACAGGAATTGCAACGAAAATTTAACCACAGACTAGGGAGAAGGTACCACACACATTAACAGATTTAATAAAACTTCAGAATTCATATTTAAAGAAACATTTAATAGTTAATTGTCTAGTTTGATTGAAATTACCTAATAACAAAAATAAATAATTAAAGTTTATAGGTTAATCAAAAAACTATAACTGATTTAAAATATAAATAAAATACATACAAATAAAAAAGATGACACCTATGAACTTTTTAAATAGAAATATGAAAAACAACAAACACAAACAGAAATGTTTGTTTATATAATGCGTCAAAAAAAAAAGATTGCGATGTCATAGCCAACTACATTTTTAAATATTTTGATATTTTTTTCTTGTTTTGATGCCAGATGAAACGAGCATTTTAAGAGGAACATTTTTAACTAAACTTTGTTAACCTAATTAACGAACCGTTTTCAGTTAATTTTCTTTTTATAGATTTATTTATTCAAATTTTTCACCTTGGTTAGTTATAAACTTTAATTAATTATTTTTGTTATTAGGTATTTTCAATCAAGCTCGATAATTAACTACGGACACCCCGTATAAGCTGAGGCGCATCTGTCAAACTGATTAATTAGTGCATCATCTCTTTAGTTTGTGATTAATTTGCAAATGCAATACCTGCATCAGTAGCGTCACAACACAATTTTATATGTAATATATCAAAATATGAAAAAAAAATACATAACCTGAATTTCTGCCTAAACCATGCAAAATTCAAATGGGGAATTTCTTAAGTAAGTGACCGTTATTTTAACCAAGGATTCAAAAAATGTCGTAATATATAGGGAGTGTCATTTAAAATAACAAAGTTGATGTCGGGGGATACTTTTGGGACACCCTGTATCAACAAAAATATAATATTTTAAATGTTGAGACAGTATAGTGGATCGTTTTATTTGGCACATAAGATAACACACATAAGCTAAGATAACACACACACATAAGATAACAACATTGTCGCTTCTTAAATTGCTTCTTAAAATATTCTTTTCAACACTTTTTAAAGGTCATAAAAATACTAAATTATTCAAATAATACAAAATTGATGAAATTCAGACCCTAATGCGAAAAGTTCTATTGCAGCAAAGAGTAAATCGTACATTTTCAAGCCATGATTTTGTGACGAACGCTCCATAATACTAAATATTTTAGAGTGTACCGTTTTCAGACCCTTACCTTATGGAAGATATGATTTTGACACTAATAATACCAGAACGACGAAAATTTTAACTTTGGGACACCCCTTTGCTACTACGCATTACCCACACTTTTTCCATTCACACCTCGACAACAAATGGTTTTATTAATTTCCAAAGTTAGTAATGAGTTGGCGTCGAAATTAATTGAATCCAATTAAGCATCGGTGCCGAAATTTTTGTACCTCACGTTTCCTCGATTAATAACAACTTCAAGCTTGAGATCGCCGCCTCCCATGGATTAAAACTGCGAGAAAATGAAATTGTAATTACCGACAAACTTCGGCGACAAGACGTGCCCTAAACTGAATTTAGTTACGGGATATCCGAAAAACCGCGAGGAAAACTTTCAAACCTGCCCTCCCGACTCCCTAAAGGCTTTAAAATTTAATATAGTACGGCGTCAATCGAGTTAGCGAGTTGATCGAATGTATAATTCATCACGTGTGTGGTGGATGCCACGTAAAACGTTTCCGATAAAATATCGCCGCCATCTTACCTTCGTAACTCAACATGTCCGTCGTGACATTTACGGAGTCGAGTTCTTGTTTCACGCGGGACATGTTGACGGGATAATAACAGATTTCAGACAGGACCAGAACCGGGAGTTGAGAGGGAGTCAGAGGGTGAACGCAGGCCAGCAACCCCAACAGCAGCAGGCCTGCCATAATCGGCCCCTTAGCGAGCCATAATTTTGTGCTTCACGTGGGACAGCTTCAAGTGATCCGACGAAATATTCTATAGTTTTTCTTTTGAGCCATGATGACCCTGAAAATAAGAAAGCTCTTTTGTCAATTCGGCTTAAGGGGGTATTTTTACAGCTTCCAGTTGCTTCAGGTTGAATTGAATTCAGTACTGCTGCAGTATGGTTTATGGTTCAATCAGAAAAGAAGATTGGAACGGCAAAGTAACTGTTCTCTCAATTCTTTCTCATTTCATATTCTTGATCCAAAATAGCAAACCGATTTTTATTATGCACTGTAGATTGCAAAACAGACACCAAAAAGACATTCAAATCAAGGATCAAATACTGAATGAGCAAACCATTTTTTAATTGCATAGCGTGAAAGGTAAAAATGACGTAGAAATAGATCTATATCTGCGGTTTTCTAAGAATAAATGCAAGATTGTTTTCAATGGCTTGGTTTTTATCAAAATGTGAATTTCAAGAATCATTGTGCATATATAAACCTGGTATTATTATTTAAAACCAAAAAATACAAAAAGCGGGCAAAATGAGATTTCATGCCTCCATAACAGTTATTTGTGTAACTAGTGCAGTGATCAAAGATTAAATAATTTATAATTCAAATATTTGTCTCTCATAACGGCCACAGCTGTTACTGTTACGGTTTTTTTTTTTTAATTTTGACGCAAGGAGCTTAAAAGGTTTGCCATCACGGACCTAGTGCAAGAAGTGTATATTTGTGCAATCACATGCTTGTGCGACACATGCTTTTTTTTATTTTTTGTAATTAGTTTCAATTTCAATTAAATTCAGCAAATGACAACCGTCAGACGTCATAAAAATTAACAAAACGTTGCATGAAATACATATACGATGTTGAAAACCCTACACTTTATGAAAGAAAAAGTCATCAATAGAGTAATCTCATTTACTAATAAACAAATTTAAAGGTTCCACTTAAATTCATACTTTGGAATTTTTTAATTAATGTTTATAATATATTAAAGTGTTCGATAGTTATTTCACCATAGAAAACCCCGACCGAAACTATATTCAAATAATTTAGCAAAGTCAATCTGTGCTACCATTTCTATACTGTAGAATAACTCTGTATAAATAGAACAATGAATATACTCTCGTTAGATATAATATTAATATTAAGTGTATTGATATACGAATACTCCAATTAAAAGAAAAAATGTTCTTTGGATCAAACTCATAAACAATAAAATGTCAAAGTCTCATGGCAAAAGTAAAATTTTTTGATAGAATAAACAGTCCGTAAAGCATTGACATTTTGTAGTAAAATTTTATAAATACCATTTTAGTGGCAAGACTCAAGCGAGTTCTTATTCTTATTATTAGAAGTCTATTGTATATTATAGTATATTATATTACAGTATATTATAGTGAAATACTTTAATTGATTATTTTAGAGTAGAAATTAGATTTTTTTTTGTTTTGGTAAAGCATTCCCAAAATCCTTTTCAATTAAACCTGACAGTTAATTTGCAGCCAAAATTTCGATTCGAAAACTCGGACTTAGTTTCCGATAGTCGATCATGGTTTTCCGTAAAGGCATATTATACGCGAATTGACACGCAGTAATTTCCGTCAAAAACACTTGTCTTTGATTGATCTAGCAGAGTGATCCATTTTCTGTCAATTTCCTTCTCGCGTTCATTTCGTTTTTGCATAAGACCAAGAATATCAGGAAAAGGAAGAGAACTAACGAAGGCACTGGAGAAAGAGTGTTTCAAGGCATGACCAAATATTAATCGATTTTGTTTATTAGAATGTTTACAAAGGACATACACAAGAGACACCTCGGCTTAGTTATGACTGGAGCTGAGCTATGTGTTATTCCCTTAACAAAATTCTGAAAATGGGTTTTAACAACCACCTGGTGTTCCAACGCGACATAAAACAGAACTGCCATTCCAAACTCGAATCGTCACACAAACAATAATTACAATTTTCTGAAAGCTCGTCTCATATTTCTTCGTTAAAAGTGGTTATAGCCCGACTCTCACGACGTAGGTACGGGTTCCGGTTTAATGTTATTCATTGCAATTTTCCGCGCAACGAAAAGTCTTCTTTTCGTTTATTACTCCACTAGTAAAATGTATAACGACTTTATGGAACACATTATGCACTGCGTTTAATTTCAATACAAAATTATGAGTTTAATTTAAACTCGTCTCTCGGCACAATGCACTGCCATTAGAGCTCTTCTGCTAAATTCGCAAGTTTCCTTCTCTCGCGCAACCCAAGTCGAGAACTACTTCTGAAGCGCTAATTGAGTTTGATAATTCTATTTTCGTTCTAACTAACAATCACATTCGAATCTGGGAGGTTATATTAAGATCAATTGGTATATTTTGCAAGGTATTTCAATGATATTTACTACAGTTTCTTGCGGGACATTTTCACTACAATTTTATATCGTATGTTGTTCTAAAGAGAAAATATTAATTATTTTACTATTAACTGAAACACTGAAGAAGTTCCATTTGTTCGAAAGATACAGTGTTACAGTAGCCTGTAGAAGTTTCTTTTAAAAATTAATTATTTTTCTTGAAAAATAATCACAAAAAGAAATCTCTAGTTAGACACAAGTTCCCGTTTATGTCCACTGTTTAGTTCTCGCTCATTTCTTCATCGTTCAGGAGTCTCCCGCGAGAAGATTATTTATCAGTGAATAAAAGAATTAAGAAACATCTAAACTGCTTTTATTTTCTGCGGAATGCAAATTCTGACTTTTCTCGAAAAATATTTGTCCTTTCAACCAGGGATTTCCTTGAACAAATTGCGGTGTTATAGTTGTTAGAAAAAAAAGCTCTGTTTCGAGAATATTAGTGGCTGTAACTGACGTTCTGTGGTTGTATTTTTCGTTTAGATAAATGTATTTTGTAATAAAAAGTCACAAAAATTAGAATAAATATAAAAACATCAATGTTAACCGAATTGCTATAGAGCTTTACCTTACCTAAAATACTGATGCAATATGGAACTGCTTCTGAAGATAGCATTTAATTAGAATTATTTGTAGATTCACTAATTGAATAAATTAAATTTTGGGCTTACACATCACTCGTCCTTAAAATTTGCCTTGAATATTAAAAAGATAACTTTACGCTATACAGCTTAAGACTCACATGTGAAATTATCCATACTTCACCTGTTCCATTCCTTAATCATGATCATAGGCATCCACTGCATGATCGTTTAAGTAGTCATTTTCTGCACATCTGTCATTAGTTATACAATGCTCTGCCCCAAACCTTTAAATTATCGAGTTCTAAACAATTTAATCGCAAAGTTAAAGTACAGATAGCGTAACGTATTTTTTTCAATACAATAATAGGTATATTTAGGTTTATTTATTTTCGCTCAACTTCCGAAATGCCATTTACCTTTAAGTCGAGTACTTACATTTTGTCCAATTTGTTTAGCGGTGCATCGGACGCGTTATCTTTCATATTTTGCGGAAAATGCATAGTCGAATTATTCGCCTAAAGCTATTTCCTCCGCATGCGAAATTGACGACGCAGTCAAGTGGGAAAAATTGTCTCGGAAAAACGACCGGAGAGGATTTCTTGAAACGCTTCGCAGATTATGGGAGTGACTACTAAGTATTTATATTGCGTATAGAAATATCGTGAAAGTTCTCTCGCAACGTCTGTCGCGTATTAAGAAATTGCGAAGAGAATGGATATTTCCATAAAAGGGAAATAAATCAAGCCTTTTCATTTTTTTACTACCTATAATTTTGCATTCCTAGATTCACATTTACTTGCGGGAACTTTATAATTTAAATATTCGCCAACACTGAAAGTTTTGGTTATCGCTAAATCATACTGCGCGTACTGTGTGCTCACTTGTATGAAACATATGAATCACTTTAAATTAGAGTTTTTTAATATTTAACCATTTAATTTTGATTAATTTACAGAAATGTTTAGGTTAAAGACAAAAAAGAACATCATTAACAAAAATACCAAGGAGGTTTTGCCTTGGCATTTGATTATAACTGTAATAACTTTTTCTAACCGCTTTTTTTATATTTTAGGACTGCTACTTTGTAGATTGTTTGACTTAACTTCGGAAAACACCTTTATGAATGGCCCGTTCTGTCTGTCTGTCTGTTGTAGCTTTGTTTAAGAGTGTTTATTGTATTCCACGGATAGGTTCAACTATAGAAAGTGCAATATTTGCTGCCAAGAGTCAATGACTAAAGTGAAGTAAAATCTAAAAAACTTTAAGCTACACAGCTTTAACCTTACGGATTGGATTATCCATACGTACACTCCACCATACTAAAATTTCTCGAGTGCGACCCAAACCTTTAAGTTACTGAGACCTAAATAATTTTAATGTTCAAATTATCTATCCTCGCGCTAGAATGAATTACTTATTTCAAGTATTTTCCCTACGGTTGGCTAGTAGGACATTATACCTCAAGTGCGGTAAACGGCATTTGTTTCAAGAGTTTACTTGGCACGAGCGGAGCGAGTGTTTGATAAACGAGTGAGTTAAAAAGTTTACGGAACGTGTTGCATACTATACTTTTTCTACGACTGTTAGTTTTTGGGTACATTTTCGCAAAACACGAATATATTCACTGACATGACCATTAGAATTGACAAACGTGTAAGAAAATCAACTTGACAGTATCGGTTACCTAGTGTAATAGCTCTGGAAATGAAACTTTTAAACTATCATAATATATTATGCAAAAAGTCCGGTAAACAACATTTGAGCGAGCGAATGTTTAATAAACGAGTGTCTTGTAGTATATTATGCAACAAGTGCGGTAAACGACATTTGACTCACGAGTTTATTTGAAATGAGCGGAGCGAGTGTTTAATAAGCGAGTGAGTTAAAAAGGTTACCGAATGTGTTGCATACTATACTTTTTCTACGAGCGTTAGTTTTTGGCTACATTTTAGCAAAACAACACGAATACATTCACTGACATGACCGTTAGAATTGACAAACGTCAAAATCCAAAGTGCGGGAAATATCTCTAAAAACATCCGATTGCTTCCAAACCCGTGCGGTAAAATCCCGGAAATGT